CTATACCTACAGCAAAGAAAAGGAAGACTCAAAGTGTTGAAGTAAAAATAGAATAAAGAACCCGTGCCATCAGCCTCGAATGCTATCAGAGGTGGGAGACTGTCCACTTCTGTCCCTGGGGTGAAATAACACTGGAAAGAACTTTCCCAAATTTCTTCCTTCTAAAAAGAGAACCAAAATTGTTCACGTGATGGTTGAAGATGGAAAGTGTCTCTTCCTGGCAGGGCCTGCCTGCAGCCCTGGCTTCACCAGCCCGGTCTCTAAGGGAGGGATGCTGGGTCTCTAAGGGAGGGATGCTGGGTCTCTAAGGGAGGGATGCTGGGGAAGAGCACAGTCTGCCCCACACATCCTGTGCAGACAAGTCACCCAAGGCCAGCGTTAGGGAACAGGGTTAGGAGGTGCACAGTCAACCCACAAAGAATACACGTTATCCACTGTACTTCAATTTTTTTTTCTTTTTAACGAAAGCTGATAATTTGACCTATGTCTATGTGAAACTTGTACTTGGTTCCTAGTCAATTTGGAACTCAGAAGGCTGGAAAAGGGATGTTTGTAATTACTACTCACCAACCACAAAAACAGAGATTGGAAAAAGCCATCCCATTGGTCTGAAATTTAAAAATCTCAGAATAAAGTTATAGGTGTGCCACCACTACAGAGAGCAGGCCTCTCCTGTTCTCTCTGGATTTGAATTGGACAGCGCTGTCAAATATGGTAGCCTGCAACCACACAAGGCTACTGAGCATTTGATGTGTGTGTGGTGTGAATAAAGATGGCAAAATCTTAGCTAATGAAAAGCAAAGTATCTCAAAAATTTGTATGTTGATGGCATCCTACAATGGAGATATTTTGGATAAATTGGCCTAAATGTAATAAAATATATTATCAAAATTTTATAAAAGCAGTGGTAGGGTCTCCTTTGATATCTTTATGTGTATAAAGCCCTCTGAGCCTTTTTCTCTAAGTTGCTGAATTTATTGGGGTGAGGTTGTTTCTAATATTCCCCTTCTAGTCTCTATGTGGACTCACTTACATGCAGCTTATCACACTTGTAGTTTCATGTACCTGTCACCTGTCAACAGTCAAGAGGCAGAACGCCCCTGTCACCACGGGGTCTTTATAAAGCCACCCCTCCATCCCTGATCCTTGGCAATCACTAATCTCTTCTCCATTTCTTTATTTTTGTCATTTAAATAATGTTAGATAAGGGGAACCATACAGTACGGAATGTCTTGGGATTGGCTTTTTTCTCTCAGCAAAGTTCTCTGGTTATTTACCCAAATCGTTTGCACGTGTCAACAGTTTGTGCCTTTTAATCACTAAGCAGTAGTCCGCGGTGTGGGTGTTCCTGTTTGTTTAACCATTCACCCATTGAAAGATGTCTGGATTGTTCTCAGGTTTTGGCAATTGTGAACAAAGCGGCCATAAATATTCCTTTTTGTGTGAACATAACCTTTAATTTCTCCTAGATAAGTGCCCAAGACTGCTATTGCTGGGCTCTGCGGTAGTTCTATGTCTTATTCTCTTTTTAATTTCAATAGAATTTGAAATGATGTTCTCTCTCACACATCTGATATTGGTAACTTTCTGTTTTCACCTTTTCATGACCAATCTTCCTTTTAGCATGGTTGATTTTATTAATCTTTTCATAGTACCAGTTTTTTTTTCAGTTTTTAAATACACTTAATTTTAGAATAGTTTTAGATTTACAGAAAAGCTACAAAAATGGTACTAAATCCCTATATACCTCTCACTCAGTCTCCTCACTATTAACTCGTTAACATTAGTCTGGTACATTATCATAACTAAGAATTTGACATTGGTACATCATTGTTAACGACATGTAAAAACCAAAGGCTTTACTCAGATCTCATTGGCTTATCCACTAATGTCTGCTCTAGGAGTCCACCCAGGATACCCCGATACATTTAATCAGGTGTCCTTAGGGTCATCTTGGATGTAACAGTTTCTCCGAAATTCCCTTGGGTCTGAGGGCGTCAACAGTTTTGAGGAGTGCTGGTTGGGTGTTTTGTAGGATTTCTCTCCTTGTGCCTTTCCTTTTCCTTTCCCCTGTGTTTAGACTGGGATTGTAGGTTTAGGGGAAGGAGACCACACAAGTGTCCTCATTTCGTCCTACAAGAAATACCTGCTATTAGCATGGCTTATCCTTGTTGCTGTTGACCTTGAACACCTGGCAACGGGGGGGGGGGGGGGGGGGGGGAGCATTGGCAAGTTTCTCCACTGAAAGTTACCCTCTCATTCCACCATGAGCAGGCCACGCTCAGCATGGGGGGTATTGGGAAGAAGTAAGCTCCTTAGGAATGGGCTCAGATACTTTCTAAATCTCTTACTTTTCTCTCAAATACCAGAATCTAATAAAAATTAAAAGTTTTCCTCATTCAATGCTATAGTATTTATCACTTAAGTGTTAGTATGGAAATGAGGTGATTCCTGCTTTTCTATTGCACGTGTACATTTAGACTATGTCAAGGTTAAACAGGTTTTCATCCATAGGCCAACTTGGGGATTTAATCACCATTTTCCATTTTCTACCTGTGGGAAAATGCATTTTAAGACCTAAATGACTCACACTAACATACTTCAAAAACAAAATGCACTCACCAGGTGACGGTTATTATGAAGACGGAAAGGGACCCAGGGCTCCCTCTTTCTTTAGAAGTCAAATCTAAACCTGTGTTCCCAGCTTTTAAGACACTTCATTTTGGACTCTGAAGTGTGTCCTATTTTATTTTCTTTCACTTAATTCATATTGCTATGCTAATTTGCAAATGAAAATATTGGGGCAATTCAATCCCCTAAATTCCTCTAATGACCATTTTTGGTACTTAGCACTAAATTGCTTCATTTTCAACTCATTGTTACACTTTAAGCTTTTTTAGCTTAAATTTAGCTTAAATTTAGCATTGCTCTAAATTTTGTTTAAAAGTCATCTTTGTTGATTTGTTATTTTTTGTATTTCAGTATTTGCCATACTTCTGGAACTCCAGCATTTCGAAGGCTACAGTCATAGTTGTAATGGTCCCAAGAAGAGCTGCAGAGTGTTTGTCTCGGGCTACTTCTCCCAGAGTGTTTATCAAATGTCTGTTAATATGCCAGACACTATTGGCTCTGGACACAAAGTATCCATGGGAGGTTAGTGGAATACTATTAATCTGAAGGGTCTTACCCAAGGTTCTCTTTAATTCTCCACTCTGCTTCCAGACTAGGCATTCTCAAACACAAAACCAGACCTGCCACTATTTTATTTTATTTTATTTTACTTTAATTAATTTATTTATTTTGAGACAGAGTCTTATTCTGTTATCTTGGGTAGAGTACTTGGCATCATAGCTCACAGCAACATCAAACTCTTGGACTTGAGCAATCCTCTTGCCTCAGTCTCCCCAGTAATTGAGACTACAGGCACCCACCACCAGACCTGATAAGTTTTCCTATTTTCAGTAAAGATAGGGTCTTGCTCTTGTTCAGGCTTGTCTTAAACTCCTGGGCTCAAGTAACCCACTTGCCTTGGCCTCCCAAAGTGTGAGAATTATAGACATGAGTCATCACTCTGGGCCAATACTTCAAGAGTCTATACTTCAATAGCCCTGGGGAGTAAAACATTACATTCTCTTAACTTATCCCACAAGAATTGTGATAATGACCAGTCTTATTGGTTTTTTCTCTCTTTTTAAATAGTGGGTTCTTGTGCAAAGGTGTCATGAGACCTTAATAAGGCAATTGCTTTGGAAAAATATAGGGGATAACATAATTTTATTTCTTCTTAATGGTAAACTTTTCATTTCAATATTTTTATATGACATTAAGAAGCTATGTGTTTATTCTGTTCATTTAAATGGAAATCTGAAGAATGGATAGGAGTTAGTACCAAAAATGGGTCTTGGAGTAAGGCAAGGATGTCGTCCACATGGTCTGGAAAAGAGAGAAAATCACCTCACATCTGAGCTCTTGAGATAAAAGTATCCTGGCACATAGGAGGAGGTTGCCAGCCACTATACCAGAACCAATAGCTCCAACATGAGGTATTGCTACCAACTCTTAGAATAGTCCCATATGGTACTTCTGCACTAATTTGAAATGATCGGACCTGAAGGCCTATCAACTTCTCAGAATTACGGCCAATATTGTTAAGTGAAAAATCTGATACAGGGTAGATTTCTGGATGGACTTTTGAGAAAAGGTTGTAGGACATTTACTACTGGCTAAGTTGTTAGTGAAACTGTCTCACTAATAGTGAAACTGAAACTGTAGCACCCAGTTTCTTCAGTAATACAGCTTTTATTAGTGAACAACAATACAGAAGTTATATTTTTAACTTTAAAAAATTCCATATATTCCTTCTCTAGACTTTGATTGTAAGAAAATAGAAACAACATGCTGGGTGGGCCCTAACAAACCTTGCTTTCCACACCCAAAACTCACGTGTGTGTACCTTGTGGGCAAATGTCAGCATTAATGCAAATTCCCATGTCGTGTCTGTATTGGAATCGCAAGCCCTGGTGGGAAATGTGTTAGCCATCTGTAGAATGGAGAGGTTATCCTCTTCCTTCATTTTTTTTTTTTTTTTTTGAGACCGAGTCTCATCCTTTTGCCCAAGCTAGAGTACGGTAGCATCAACCTAGCTCACAGTCTTGAACTTCTGGGTTCAAGTGATCTTCCTGCCTCAGCCTCCTGAGTAGCTGGCGCTACAGGTGCCTACCATGATGCCTGGCTAATTTTTCTCACTCTTGTTCAAGTTAGTCTCGCACTCCTGAGCTCAAGCAATGCACTTGCCTTGGCCTCCCAGAGTGCTACGATTACAGGTATGAGCGACTGTGCCTGGTCCTGTTCCCTCATTTTTTTTTCTCCACAAAATGAAGTGGAATCTTGGATGGGAAATCAGAATTGCAAGGGCACTAAGTAGGCAGGCAACAGAGAGAAACATCCTTTTTGTGACCTAATGGTAGGAACTAGCTGTCTCCGTAGAGGAAGGGACACGTGTGCTTGCCTTCTGCACATATACTAAAACTGGAACAACACGGAGAGGATCAGTGTGGCCCCTGAACTAGGAGGACACATACATTTGTGAAGTGTTCCCTATTTGATTTAAAAGAGGAAGAAGACCTCAGTCAAAATAAGATAAAGAAGGATGATAAGACTTGAAGAAAATGAAATAAATCTCAGAATACTTAGAGAATAGCATCCGGAAGGAAAGGACACCACGTGCAAAGGTCCTGGGGCAGGAGCCTTCCTAGTGTGGTCAAGAACTAGGACGGAGAGCAGTATTACTGGCAGGAAGACAGAGAGTAAGTGAACAGTAGGGAATAGGCCGGAGGGAAACTGGTTGCCTGGGGATCAGGTTAAGCAGAGCCTTGCAAGCCATGCAAAACCTCTTTTTTTAATGTGGTCCAAGGTGGGAAGATACTGGCTAACTGGGAGTCCTGGCCAGCCTCCAGGGAGTGTGACCAGTGCAAGTATGTAGAACTTCATGTTGAGAAGAGCCTCAAGCTTCTAGTGTTTCTCTAGAGTTGGCTCTTTTTATCTTTTAATTTGTGTTTTATGAATGAAGTCCAGTGGGATGATGGAGCATGTGCCAAGGGCTCAGAGCCTCAGCTCACATGAGATCTGCCTCCTTGCCTCCCTAAGATGAGCTCCCAGATGCCCACTCATTGCCCTGTCTAGCCACTCCCTCTGTGTTCCCATGTCTGTTCCATTCCTGTGATTTTCTGGTGCCCTACTGGGAGTTTGGACAGAGAAGTGGGAAGCATCAGGGTCCAGCACATGCCCTATGAAATTTGGAGGTGAGGCAGGCTGTAGCCCTCCTGTCTTTGGGCTGCCGGCATCAGATGCATTCAGCCAGTGACAGAGCAGGGGCCTCTTCCCCACCCAGGATCCAGACACTGAGCATGTCCCCGGCAAGCTCTCAGCAACTGCTTGTCCACTGTGAGTCAGAGCAGAGGGAAAAGGGAGATTAGCTCCCCTGCCCCCAGCTGAGGCCCTGAATTTTATTTTGCTGGCCACCAAAATTACGTGTCCAGCCCTGATGCATATTCAGGGAGTAGATGAATAGCATGGTCCAGCCTGTTTTTCAAAAGGATCACTCTGACAGCCATGTTGATAGTAGGAAAGCAGGAATAGAAACAGGAAGACCAGGAGGGAGGCAAGAATCCAGATGGGAGATAATTGCGAATCAAACCAGGGTGGGATAGGGAAGATGGTAGAAAATGGTCAGAAAGGTATTTTGAAGGCAGAACCAAAAGTAATTTTTGATAGATTAGATGTGGGGTCTAAGAGAAAGAAGAGGTCAAGGATGCCCCTCTGTCCCTTTCTTGGCCTGAGAAACTGAAAGAACAGAGTTGTCAGTAAATGAAATGAAGAACAGGGAGCAGACTGGGGAAAGGAAGAGGAGGAGCTTGGTTTCGGACACTTTAGGTTTGAGATGTCTGTTAGGTTTCTAGTAGAGGTGTTCAGAAAGCAGTTGGGTACATTCTGGGATGTTGGGGGATAAATCTGTGTCCAGCCTGGGGAGACAAACACCAGAGTTGCCAGCTAAACATGATATTTCATGAGATTATCAAGGGAGCAAGAATAAATATAGAAAGGTTTGAGGACTGAGCACATAGGAGAAATGAGGAAGGGTCCACGATTAGCAAAAAGAGGGGGAAACCCAGAATGTATGAGGTAGTGACAGCCACGTGAAGAGCAGATTTACTGAAAAGGGTGTGGCAAGAACTGCTGAGGGTTCAAGGAAAGGGAGGACTGGACGCTCAGTAGTGTGGAGACATCACCAACTTGGTCACAGGCCCAGTGGAGCCGTTGTTGGTTTGTTTGAGTCTGTTCCAGAGAGGATCAAAGAACAGGAATGGCAAAAACAAGGTGAGGCCATTGAAGAATTTTTTGTTAAAAGGTTTCAGAGAAATACAATGATGGCTAGAAAAGGAATTGGAATCAAAAGAAGTTTTGTTTTGCTTTATTTTTTAACTAGTGAACATGGGAAAGGGGGTTTGTGTGCTGATCTGGATGATCTGGCACGAGAGGGGATATTGAGAACGGTGGAAGTGAGTGTGGAATTGCAGCAACAGGTGGAGGGGCTGGCCTCGCAGTGGCAGGCAGCCCAGTGGTGGCACGAATGCTGGGAGTGGGGCAGAGAAGGTGCTGCGAGCGTGCGTGGGTTCTGTTCCGATGGCTTCATTTTTCTTAGTGAAATAGGAAGCAGAGTCATCAGCAGAGTGTTAAGAATGGGGCGGGAAGCGTTTTAAGTTTGAGAAGGAAAAATGAAACAAGGCATAATAATCTAAAAAGGAGCTATGAGAAAGATGGGGTGTGACACCAACACGTCTGAAGGTCCAAAGATGGGGTGTGACACCAACGCGTCTGAAGGTCCACTTCAGCCTGAAGGGCAAGGCCCAAAGGAGTGTGCTCAGCATGGCCTCGTGCTTTCAAGGGCACCATCAGTCACCCAGGAGGTGGAGGTCACAAGGAGGTGGAGAGCAGGGCTAACCAGGGCTTGCGTTTTGTCAAAGTAAGAGGGACAACAGAGATGAGGATGCTTGCATGAAATGTACACGGTGGAAGAAGGTGAGGGCACGGAAGGGTAGGCGGAGGTGAAAGTGAGAGAGAATGTGGGGAAGGGTCCCTGAGTGAGCTCAGTTAGGAGGGGATGGAAATCGAGATCAGAAAGCTACCGAGTTATGATGTGGTTTAGGATAAACCATAGGAATAAATCTCTGAAATTGGATAATAGACAAAATTGTTGAAGGAGAGACTAAACTTTTGATAGGCCAAGAATCAGTATTAAAACAACTGATTCTGAAGTAGGAACTTTAATTTTATGTAGAACTGACTGGCTAAACATAAAAGTTTAGAGTTAAGTCAGGACACATGAGAGAGCTGGAAGAAACAGGATGATTATGAACAGGATGCTGTGTAGTGAGTGCACTGGACGTGGTATCAAATAGTTTACCTATAGTTTGCACAAAGTTTTGAATTGTTCCTGGCAACACCAGTGAATTCTAGAGATCATTATCATCTCCATTTTATAAATGATGAACATGAGGGCCAGGGAGGTTAAATAACATGTAACTCTGAGTCCAGACTCTGAGCTTTCACCACTATGTCCATCTGCCTTGGCAAGTACAATGATTATGATAGAGCAGGTAATATTAAAATCCACATCCTGAGATGTGATTACCAGATTTATGGGATTAGAGACTCTTGAGAACAATATTGTATACAAAGCCCAGTAATATACATGATCTCATCTAATCCTCATATTAATCCCGTGTATTAAGTAATTTGCCAGGATCATGGGGCTAGTAATTAGCAGAGCCTGGATGTGAAGCACGTCTGATGACTTCCTGCTTGCACACACCTTCCACTAACTACGGGTTGCTATTACTTTCCAGAGACGGTTCAGGCAGCAAGTTTAAATGGTTTTGAATAGATGTATTCATAATGAAAACATTACTATTTATTTCTTTTAGGACTTAACCGGAAAAATCTCATAATTCCTATGTTTCCATGGGAACATTTGTTAGCACAGAATGCAGCATTCTTCCAATCATGGAATATTCTTTCTATAAATTCATGTATTCTCTCAACTAATATACATGGAGCACATAGTCTGTGCTAGGTGCGGATGATACAGCTGGGTGAGAAGCATCCTGCTTTCATGGAACCTTCAGTCAGCTACAGACCTGCAGGCTTCACATACTCCACAAGGCTCTTCAGGCCTGGTGCAACTTAAGGCATTGCATTTGACTTAGAATATACTCTATCCCGTAGGACCCAGTTACCTAAGAGATCCTTCCTCTCCCTAATGGTTTGGCACAGAGTAATTCAGCAGTAGTGCCCTGGAGATGGAATGTTAGGTTTGGACTCTGGAGAAATAGAACCAAGGTGTTTCCCCCCAAAGGATTTTCCTACTCCAAGAAGACCTCATGTTAAAGCTGGACTTAAGAATAAGCCTGTTTGCCTGGCATTCTAAGTGGCTCAGTGGTGCTGTGTTGCCCCACAGCTACCACTTGGCCACGTGTTTTGCTGAAATATTGGGTTTATGCATGACACGTGCCTCAGTCCATTTTGCATTGCTGTAAAGGAATGCTTGACACTGAGTAATTTATAAAGAAAGGAGGTTTATTTGGCTTACAATTCTGCAGGCTTTCCAAGAAGTGTGGCTCCTGGTGAGGTTTTCAGGTGTCTTCCAAACAAGGTAGAAGGCAAAGGGGGTACAGGTGTGTCACATGGCTGGAGGGGCAAGTGAGAGGAGGGGTGTGTGTGTGTGTGTGTATGCGTGGGCCAGGCTCTTAGAAACAATCAGCTGTCGTGTAAACCAGTAGAGCAGAACTCACTCACTAGTGTGGGGAGGGCACCTTGCCATTCATGAAGGGTCTACCCCAATGACCCAAACACTTCCCACCAGGGCCCACCTCCAACACTGGGGATTAAATTTCAACATGAGATTCGGAGAGGACAGTCAGACTATAGGTAGTATCGTTATGTAATCATTTATAGGCTCTGGAACCCATCACCCTCTTTCCAGAAGGTCAGGCAAAGGCCAAGTATGTCTGGACCTTGGGCACCAATCTGGGAGGACAAAACATCCAGAAGGTGGGAAAAATTACATTTTGTTCAACCTGGTGCCCAAACAGCTGATATCCCAAGATGTGTGCGGTGGCTATTCCCACGTGTGGATAGAGATATTCCAGTGCTCCTACTTGGCAATGTTTCTAATTAAGAATGGCACTCCACACTAGCTCCAGCTCACCTGACACCTACCACAGGAAAGCGGGGGCGGCTGGAGGTGCTGTGGTTTGCTTCCAGATTTAGAAGATTCCAACTGGAGCTCTTAGTGGCACTGTAACGCTTGTTGCCTCACTTCCCTCTGGTCTTAAAATATGTGAGTCACAGTATAATTTAAGCATTACACTCTCCGTCTCTTACATTTGCAAAAGTTTGGTGAGACAAATCAATTCTTAAATTTTCTTATTAAAAACAAGATGAAGATGTATATTTTACTGGAGTTTCAAGAATCTTGTCAAATCGCAACATACTTTACACTCTCCTTGAACTACTCAGATCACAGATTTAATTTAGTCCAGTCATTTCTGGAGTCGGGGGACCACACAGCCAGTTTGCAAACCCTATAGCTTTAAGAGAAGCTAATTCTAGTTTTGGAGTAGAGGAGGCGGCGCCAGTCCCCGGCTCCGCCACTCCCCGCCCGCGGGCAGGGGCGGGGCGGGTACTCAGTTTCCCGCGGCTGCCGGCCGCGCCCCTCCGCGCCGCCTGGGGTGCTGGGCTTCCCACCTGCTGGGAGGCGCGGTCGAGGGTCGCTGGCTGGCCCGCTTGGCTGCCCCTCCTCCCGGCTTAGTCGTTTCCCAGCCTCCGAGTACACCACTGGAGCACGAGCCAGGGAGCGTGGACTTGGGCCACGAAAGGCTCGAGCGCCTCCTAACCTCCCTGAGCTTGGGCGGCCCCGCCGGCCAGAGCATCCAGGAGCCCTGGGGATGCCCGCGTCTTCCCCCGAGGGTGCAGACTCTGGGCTCCCGACGGACCCACCCGCCTTCTGCTGCCCGAGCGGCCTCGCACTTGGCGCTCCGGGCCTAGCACGCCCTTTTCCTCCCCCTCTCCGAGGCCGGGCACGCCCACTGCCGCTGCTGCTCTGGGGCCCGGCAGTCCGAGTTGAACCTGTTCTCTCAGCACTCGCCGGTCCAGCCGCACACCAGCCCTTGTCCTGTTACCCGGGGCTCGGAACCAAATACAAAGAGGCCCGCGCCCCTCCAGCCCTCGCCGCCGCGCCACACCCGGCCGTGCCCAACCTGCTCAGTCCTCCACGAGGGCTGGACGCGGAGACCCCTCCTCTGGGCGCGCTCCTGCCCCTCCCCTAGTGTCGCTCCAGCCCACCCAGCGTTTTCCGAAATCCCGTGAGCGGGGCCCTCGACTGTCCCCTGCTAACCCCTCGGCCGCCCCTCCCGGCCCCCGGGACCCCCCGGGCCACTGCCTCCCACCCGCCGCGGCTCTCGCTCCCAGCCCCTCCTCCGGGGCCCTCCTCCTCCCGAGCCAGGGTGGGAGCGGCGGCAGCTGGAAGAGAAGGGATGAGGTCATCCTCTCCCTCGGAGTCAGCTGGTGGAGGAGAGGAAGCGGGAGGAGGGAGCGCGCGCGAGGGGAGGAGAGGAATGTGCAGGTCCAGGGAGCGCCGCGCCGGCCGCTGCTGCTCCTGCTGCTGGCGG